AACACTGAGAAAATAAAATCTCAAATAAGTTATATTGCTATGCAAAGAAACTAACAAAAGAGCAAATTAACAAAAAAGAAGATTGAAATCAATAAATTCAAAGGTGAATATCAATGAGACAGTTGAAAACTGGCTACACATCTCTGTATGGACAGTGCCTGGCCTGCTCACGCAGTCTCTCCACAGGAGTTGGGTAGGGATCCTTCCCAGCAGGAAGCCTCAGAGCAGCTGCACTGCACAGCAGCTAACCAAGGATATGGAGGCTATGAAGCCACAAATGGTTACTTCTGCCACATCCTGTTAGTTATGATTAAAGCACAAGCCTACTGAGAGTCAAGGGTAGGGAAATCAAACGCCATCCTTTATTTTTTTTAATATATATTTAGTTTTTGATTTCTAGTTTTTTTTTTTCAGTTTTTACCAGATTCAATATAGTTCATAGATACAATTCCAATCATTGTTTTTAGTTTCTGAGATAGCATATTCTTAATTTACATTATAGTCAAGGGCTTAATGCTTCACCGAATAAAATGTTTAACAAGTTAAAAGCGAAGAGACCCTAGTTTAGTGGGAATACACACAAGGGCTATAAACAATAATCACATCGAAAGATGACCATTTCATCCACATAGAGTAAATTTTAAAGTAATCACAGATCACTAAAACTAGAGTAATACGAAATTCTTAACCATCTCTTAATGAGGTAGCATCAAGGCCCAAGAAAAAAGATGTGGCAAAGGAAATATTGTTGTAGGTAACTTTGAAAAGTGGAATCCACACTACAGGTCTGGTCTGACATATAGTATCATTTCCCTCTTATTCCCTATTATTTGTACCTGTTATATTTGTTGTGGTACAGATCTTCCAATGACAAATTCATCTTCTCTTTATTTGAAAATGCTTTATTTTACTTTTATTTTTGAAGAATATTTTCACAAGATATACTCTTATTTAGGTTGGCAGGTTTTGTTTTCCTTTTTTTCTTTCTGAACTTAAAAGATCTCCCTCTGGCTTCCGTTTGCACTATTTCTGTTAGGAGGTTAGCAGTGACTCTCTGTCTTCCTCATGTAGTAACAGGGCTTTTTTTCTTTTGGGTCATTTAAAATTTTTCTCTTTCTCATTGTTTGTTTAGCAACCTGACTGTAATGTGCCTTGGTATAGCTTTCTGTGTATTTATCCTTTTAAAGTCTCGTGAGGTTTTTGAATCAGTGGATTAATATTTTTACTCAAACCTAAAAAATTTTTCAGCCACAATCATGCATTGTGCAATCATATAATCTTTTTTAAAGTTTCATTTTTGGGCCAGCATTGTGGTATAGTAGGTAAAGCTACCACCTGCAACATAGGCACCAGTTCAAGTTCCCAATGCTCCACTTGCGATCCAGCTCTCGGCTAATGTGCCTGTAAAAGCATCAGAAGAAGGCCCAAGTACTTGGGCCTCTGCACCCACATGAGAGACCTTGAAGAAGCTCCTGGCTTTGGCCTGGCACAGACCTGGCCATTACGGAGTGAACCAGTGGATGAAAGACTCTCTGGGGGCCAGTGCCATGGTACAGTAGGTTAATCCTCTGCCTGCAGCGCTAGCATCCCATATGGGCGCCAGTTCTAGTCCCAGCTGCTCCTCTTCCAATCCAGCTCTCTGCTGCGGCCTGGGAAAGCAGTGAAAGATGGCCCAAGTCCTTGGGCCCCTGTACCTGCATGGGAGACCAGGAAGAAGCACCTGGTTCCTGGCTTTGGATCAGTGCAGCTCCGGCCATTGCGGCCATTTGGGGAGTGAACCAACAGATGGAAGACCTTTCTCTCTGTCTCTTCCTCTCACTGTGTGTAACTCTAGCTCTCAAATAAATAAATAAAATCTTCTTAAAAAAAGATGGTGTCTCTCCCTTTCTTTTCTTTCTCTGTAACTGTGCCTTTCAAATAAATTTTTTTTAAATGTTTACTTACTTATTTGAAAGAGTGACACACAAACACAGACACACATAGAGCGTGCACTTCCATCAGTTGGTTCACTCCCCAAATGGCTGTAAGAGCCAGGGCTGGGCCAGGCTGAAGCCAGGAGCCAGAAGCCAGGAATTCTATCCAGGTATCCCACATATGTAGCAGGGACTAAAACACTTTGGCCATCACCCACTGCTTCTTAGGTGCATTTGCAGGGAGCTGGACCAGGGAAGTGGAATAACCAGGATTTGAACTGATGCTCTGATGTGGAATGTGGGCCTCCCAAGTGGCAGGTAACCTGCTGTGCCAAAACATCCATGTCATTATGTCTTCTAAATAACTGAACACATTACATTTTGAACATTATATCATCAGTGGGTCTACATCTATTTTGTGGGGTAGGTGGCGGGAGTGAGGTAGGTGAGTGCCAAGACACTGCCCAAAAACCTGGGGCTGACATCATCAGGACTTGTGTGTCCTGACAGACTTTGGGACATTGACATTGGCCATGCCCCTGCCAATGCCAGTGCCTGAGCATCCACTCTGGGACTGCAGGTCAGTGCTCCCATGGCCCCAGTCACAGCAGACTGGACCTCACCAAATGGGTCCCCCCTAAGACTCATGTGCCTATGCTGAGATTTAGAGAAGTATCCACACCACCACTGCTACTGCTACCAATTCATGTGGAAGAAGAAACAGGCGTCTATATTACAGTGTCCAGCTAAAAATAAAGCCAAAATAGACTACCAAACCAAGAAGACACAGCTTCTTGAAAAAGCCTTTCTCTGTGAAAGATACTTGTTAAAAGCGACAGAAACAATTAATCTACCAGATGCACAAATATCAAAGTTAGAAACCCAAGAAATATGAAAAAGCAAGGCAATATGATGCTCCCATGAAACATGATAATTTTTTAGTAGTAGACTCCAGAGAAAAGGAAAATGATGAAGTACCTGGCAAACAATTCAAAAGAATGAGTAAAAGGATGTTCAGAGACTTACAAGATAATGTAGACAGTTTAATGAAATCAGGAAAGCAATGTATAATATGAATGGAAATTCAGAAAAGAGAAATCTTAAAAAAGAACAAACAGAAAACTTAGAAATAAAAAGTCAAAAAATATAGTTGACAAAACAATAGATGACAACAAGCAGAAAAAACAAATTCAGAACTTGAAGATAGGCCTTTTGAAATTTCCTAGTGAGACAAAAAAGGAAGGAAAAAGTACTTTTTTAATAATAAAAATGAACAGATATATTCTGAGACTTTTAAGGAACTATTAAATTTATAGGGAACTCAGAAAACCCTACAACAAATAAAACCAAATAATACAGTTTAGAAATGGATGAGGTTGAGGTGAGGAGGGTGACCACTGTGGTGCAGTTGGGTAAGCTGTCACTTGGGACATTGCATCGCTTATCAGAGCGCTTGGGATGGAGTCCTGCCTCCACTTCCTATCTGTTGGCTTTTTGTTAATGTACCTTGGAGACAATAGATTATAGCAAAAAACTTCAGTTCTTGCCACCCACATGAAAAACCCAGATGCAGTTTCTTGCTCTTGGCTTTGGCCTAGCACAGCCCTGACTGTTGCAGATGGAAGGTCTCTGTTTCTCTCCCTCTCCTCGTAACTCTGCCTTTCAAATAAATAAATCTTAAAGAAAAAAATGGACAAAGGATCTAAATAGACTTGTCTCAAAAGAAGAAATACACATGGTCAACAAATAAACGAAAAAGTTATTGATATGAACATCTATCAGGGAAATGCAAAACAAAACCACAATGAGGTAGGAGTTCACTCCAGTCTGAATGACTGTTATCAAAAAGACAAAACATAACAAATGCTTGTGAGGATGTGGAGAAAAGGGAACCCTGACACACTGTTGGTAGGAAGACAAATTACTACAGTCATCATGGAAAGCAGTATGGAAATTCCACAAAAAAAAACCCTAAAAATAGAACTACCATATGACCCAGCTTACCCCATAAAAACTGTACAAGTATTAAAGATAACTAAAAAATTTAATTAATGAATTAAAAAATATGGGACAGTAATGTTAGCAGACTGACATAATTTTCCACTATTTTAACTTTCTTGGAAGTAGAAAAACATTTCAGGAGTTTTATTATTCTTTGCTCATTTTCATTTCTCACTGATAGCACAGTGAGCAACACAACATTCCTTCCTAAAAAGCTGAATTTATGTTCAGTCCCAAAGTGTTCATTCATGATGAATCAATTATAATAGTAATGCTCCTGTCTCATTTTATAAGATACTCAATCTCCCAGCCTTCCTGAGAGCTACAAGTGACCATATGGTACATGATCAACGAGACCGACAACGAAGCTAGCTAGGGGTCCCCTGAAAAGGCTTTAATTTTGCTACAAAAAAGGAAGAGGTAAGGCTGGCCCCCTTTCCTGTATTAAATGTGAGTCATATCTGACTATAATTCATATGTGGATGAAAAGTTCACACTCTTAAATACAGCAGAAGAGAAGAAACAAAAGGGCCTGGTCCATAACGATGCTACTGAGAATCTAAAGCAATGCATCACCTGATTGCCCCTGAGAAAAATAAAATTTATCTGTTTAAACCACTTCGTCTAAAGTTTTCTGTTTCCCATGACAGCAAACATCTCTGACTGATAAATGCACATACCCCTTGTTCTTTAGACTAAGGAAGAGTTTGCAGATAATATGTAGTTTGTCTTAAAATAGACTAAAAAGGGAAATGGATGAGAATTGCATTTTCTTGACATCTTTGGACTAATCAGGTTTTCTTTGATGTCTATGAAATGCATGTCTGCCTTATATCCCTCTCTGATTACAAAATTCTTTGTGGCCAGAGATAATCTGTTTTCTAAACTCACGTGGAGGTACTACCAGGTCCTCAAATTAGCTGACTGACAGCCTCTATGTCTAGATGTCATGCAAGTTATCTCTGTCACCTACATATACTTTGTCTCCATAAGGAACAAGGAACCTACAGACCTAAAATTAATTTTTTCATAGTAATAAGTATGGAGTTAAGACAAAAAATGCAAAGGGATGATTCACTGTCTTACGTTCACATTCTCTGACATCCAAGTTGAACTGCTGCAATGCTCCCAAGGTAAGCTGCCTTACTTCGGCTTCCAGCAAAAGCTGCATCAAGGATGTGGCTAAATGCTTGCAAGCTGACATACATGCTGTCTGAGCCACCTTTCCCTGAAATACAAGAGTGTATACCACAAGGTTAATGGATTAAAATGAAATTCCAGCAAACATTAAAATCACTTTATGAGTACAAAAAAGGTGACGAGTGAAATTGACATCTTGAAATTTGATGATTATTTATAGCCCTTGTCTATCCTCTTGAGGAACAGTGTTTTGTTTTGTTTTTACTTTCTATTTGTTAAATTCTTTATTTGGTGGAGGATTAAGCCTCTGATTATAAAGTAAACTGAAAGTATGTTATTATAAAAATTAAAAAGAAACTACAAAGAAAGAAGGAGGGAGGAAGGGAAGGGAAGGGTGGAAGAGTCATACTTGCTGAAAATTGTATATACGAAATACATGAAAGCTATTCTTTTTATATAAATAAAATTAATATCAATAATAAAGAATTTGTCTAAGAAACTCCCCATCTTGATATCCTTACATTCAAATAATCGTGGAATCAGAGCACCTGATAGCAAGCATCTCCAATATTGGCATAACAATCAGGCATAGTAGTCATAACCCCAAGCTGAAATTCACACAGCCAAGCTGTTTAGTCAAGAAGCACCTTTACCCCTAAATTGACAGTAGATAAACAATATTCAAAATCTTCAGTAAACTGAAAAAGAATATTCCAGAGAATAAACCTTAAAAAGCTTTTCCCTGAAAAATTAATTATTAAAAAAGAAATGTAAATGATAATCCCTATTTTATCTAGAAACCAGTATTTGCTGCTTTGTGCTTAACATGCATAAAATGAAAAGAACGATTTAAAACAAAATGGTTACTTAGAAATGTAAATAAAATAATTAATTTAATTTTCTTTGAGGATGCTGAGATTTATGAATATAACTCCAAGCTAATTTTTAAAACGTGTTTTTAAATGAATATTTTAGGGTCTGGCATTGTGGCAAAGTGGGTTAAGCTGCCACCTGCAGCATCAGCATCTCATCTGGGTGCGAGTTCGAGTTCTGGCTGGCTGCTCCACTTCCGATCCAGATCCCTGCTAATGTGCCTGGGAAAATAGCAGAAGATGGCTCATGTCCTTGGACCACTGTATCCACATGGGAGACCTGGAAGAAGCTCCAGGCTCCTAGCTTCAGCCTGGCCCAGCCCTGGCTATTGTGGCCTATTAGGGAGTGAACCAGAAGATGGAAGACCTCTGTCTCTCTGGTTCTCCCTATCTGTCTCCATAACTCTGCCTTTCAAATAAATAAAATAAATCTTTAAAAAATAATATTGGAGATTTGAAAATGGCAGAATAGAGAAAGGACATACTGTATTAGGCTAGAGGAAAATAGAAGCAAAAAAGTGGAGAATGTGCATTCCCAGGGGAGAATTGGAGAGAAATCTGCAGTGGAAATTCTACAGAAGGAAGAGAGACACCAGGATCAGCATGGAAGGTGTGGACGTGGAACAATGAGCGCAGACACAACACATGACCACCACAGCTGAGAGCTGGAGGAAGCACCAGCTTTGCAGAGCGAGGGGAGAGCAGACCAAAGGGGCCTGTGCCACTGACAATATTGCCGAAGGGAGAACCCAGCAGATTATGCTGTCTTTGAGTCCAGCTTGAAGCCTTGAGGGAGAGAAGACACCTGCCTAACCCAGCAATAAAAGGACACGTTTCTCTCTTCCCAACACCCTACATCAGTGCCAGGCAATGGGCTGGGAGATGGTGCCATTTTGACATCAGTAGCAGCTGTGGCAGCTCGTGTGCACATGTCCAGCGGCTGGAGGGGACAACATGCCATCTAGACACAGTAGTGGCTGAGCAGCTCAGCTTTGCGTCCATGGCAATGGGCAGAAAGAAGGAGCCACTTTGAAATGAGTAGCAGCTGTGGAAGCTCTTATGCATGTGTGCAAACCAGGGATGTTACCAGAGGGAAAAATGTACATTTCCCACTAACTTTAAGTCTGGCTGGAAGGATTGACAGGGGGCTGAGCATCCATGCAGGACTGTGAGGCACCCCCAGCCTCTCAACACATCTCAGGCTCCAGTATCCTTTCATGATGAAAACCTCAAGCAAACTGGATATAGAAAGAAGATTCCTCAACATAATCAAGGCAATCTATGACAAACCCACAGCCAGCATCTTACTGAATGGTGAAAAGTTGGAGGCATTTCCACTAAGATTCAGTACCAGACAAGGATGCCCACTCTCACCACTGTTATTCAATATTGTCCTGGAAATTTTAGCCACAGCATTAGGAAAGAAAAACAAACTGAAGGAATACAAATTGGAAAGGAGGAAGTTAAGTTATCCTTATTTGCAGATGACATGATTCTATATATGGGAAAACCAGAAAACTCCACTAAGAGACTATCATAAAAGAGTGGCAAAATATGGAATTAACACACAAAAATCAACAGCCTTTGTATACAAAGACAACAGCATGGCTGAGAAAGAACTTCTAAGATCAACCCCATTCACAATGACTACAAAACAAACTATATACCATGGAATACATTCAATCGAAGAGGTGAAAGATCTCTACAATGAAAATTACAAAACATCCAAGAAAGAAAAAGAAGACACACATACAAACAGGAAAAATATTCCATGTTCATGGATTGGAAGAATTAATTCATCAAAATGTCCATACTACTGAAGGCAATTTACAAATTCAATGTGATCCCCATCAAAATACCAACAACATTCTCTGTGGATCTAGATACAAAACACAAGAACTAAAGCTAAAGCTTTAGCTAATAGCTAAAGCAATTTATACAACAAAATGTCAGAGGCATCACAATACCAGGTTTCAAGACATATTACAGGTCAGTTATAAACAGAACAGCTTGGTATTGGCAAAACAAAGCAAAACAAAAAATAGATGGATAGACTAATGGTACAAAATAGAAACCCCAGAAATCAATATATACATCTATAACCAACTAGGCTTTAACACAGGAGCTAAAATCAATCCCTAGAGCAAGGATAGGCTCTTCAAAAAATGGTGCTGGGAAAACCAGATAGCCACATGCAGAAGTAAGAAGGAAGATCCCTACCTTATACCTACACAAAAATCCACTAAAATGGTTCCAGGATGTAAACCTGTGTCCTGATACCATCAAATTACTAGAAACTGGAAGACATTGGCATAGGCAAAGACTTCTTGGAAAAGTCCCCAGAAGCACAGCCAATCTAAGTCAAAAGTGACAAATGGGTAAAAGTGACAAATGGGTTACACTAAGCTGAGAAGCTTCCGCATTGCAAAAGAAACAGTAAAGTGAATAGGCAACCAACAGAATGGGAGAAAACATTTGCAAACTATGAAATTTATAAAGGATTAATATCCAGAATCTATAAAACAGCTCAAAAAACTCAAGAACAACAAAACAGGCAATCCAGTTAAGAAACAGGCAAAGGACATGAACAGGCATTTTTCTAAAGAGGAAATTCAAATGGACAACAGACATTTGAGAAAATACTGAGGATCACTATCTGCTGGGGAAATACAAATCAAAACCACAATCAGGATTGACCTCACCTGTTAGAATGGCTGCCATACAGAAATCAACAGAAAATAAATGCTGGCAGTGACGTGCAGAAAAAGCACCCTAATCCACTGTTGGTGTGAATGTAACTAATACAGCCATTGTGGAAAACATTATGAAGATAACTCACAGAGCTGAAAATAAGTATGCCATATGAACCATCTAACCCACTCCTGGAGCTTTTCCCAAGGGAAATGAAATCAGCATACAAAAGAGTTATCTGTATCCCTATATTTATTACAGCTCATGTCACAATAGCCAAGATATGGAATCAAGCCAGATCTCCATCAACAGATGAGTAGATAAAGAAAATGTGGTATATATACATTATGGAATACTACTCAACTGTAAAAAAGAATGACAACCTGTCTTTTGCAACAAAATGATGCAAACGGAAACCATTATAATTAGTGAAATACGCCAGTTCCCTAATCTGTGGTAACTGAGAGAGTACCAAAAATATAATGTATAGAAGCAAAATTGACATTTTGAACTTTGCTGATTGTTTACAGCCCTTGTCTCTTGTCAAACTGCCTGGGACTGGCAAAAAAACAGATGGGCAGACCAACGGAACTGAATAGAAACCCCAGAAAACAATCCACATATATATAACCAATTAATCTTTGACACAGGAGCTAAAAAAATGAATTTTTCTTCTAACTATTTGTTGAACTTAGTGTAGGATTAATCTTATTAGTATAAAATAAGCTTAAAGTAAATCACTGTAAAAATTAAGAGAGGGAATAGGAGAGGAAGGACAAGGAAGGGTGGGAGCATGGGTGGGTGGGAAGCATCATTATCTTCCTAAATATGTATATATATATATATCTAATATATAAAATGAATATACCTTAAATAAATTTATTTAAAAATAAAATTAGTAAACAGGAAAAAATTAATATTCTATTATCTCCTTTAAAGGATTCAAAATACTTTATATTTTGTAAATTAAATCCTAGCGCCCAGGTCCAAGTTACACATCATAGAAGATATATCCACTTTTGTCTAGATTTACATCAAGATTTATATCGATTTTATTTTTGTATAGTTTATCATTTATTCTGAAAGATAGTATGAAAAATATTTTGAAAAGTCTAGGTACTCAAGGTAGCCAGTGAATCCTATTTTGAAATTATGAAATAGTTCAGCCTCTTAAAAAGACATACAGAATCATAGGATGAACACTTATGTGTCCGCTTAACATTACAAACACAGTTTAAGTCTCTCTATGTGATACCCTTGATCTTTTCCTCCTCTCTCCTCAGAGATAAACATTATGAATGAGGGTATCCCTTTGGTATTTTATTATGACATGCTTATAACCAGAAAAAATATACAGTATTATTATTATACATGTTTTGAAATTTTCTATAACATCATATGGCATGTGCTTCTGCAACATGTTTTCCCAGTTTAACATTAAGAATGTAAAGATTTTTAATTGTAATGCAGACTAGATGTTTAATCCTTCAAGTGTTCCACAGTACCCTTTTGGGAAATATGTTAT